AATACGTGCAACAACACAGCAGGGTACTCACAGGAGGCTTCAGTGATATCCTGTTTCACACCACTTACAAAAGAAAAGGGAATTTGAAAAAACCCACCTGATTTCATTCACTGCCTAGCCGGGAAAACAGGGGAATGCCAACTATGCAACCTTTAAAAATGATTCACCACACCTTCTACTAAGAAAATTTATCTTTGTAAATGTACACCACAGTGACTAAATCGATTTGGAAGTAAGAGCGAGCCATAACAGACCTATGATGGAATTTATCTTGATGTGAAGAATTAAAGACATATTAAATAATTTTTTGTTTAACCACTAATATGTGGGTGGCTCAAGTCCATTCATATCTCGGCAAGAGCACAGAACAGTCTCACATTTTTCTGGTATTCCACACCGGCTGGATGAGTCATGTGCTATTTCACCATCATTTTACATTGTTATGTATTGGTGCTACCACAGAAAGAGATGTTTCTACCTTGTCCCTTCCCTCAGCCATTCATTCCTAGCCTTGCCCCCTCCTCTACCTAGGCACACACGTTTGTTCGCACAAGGAGAAAGACTGAAGTGGATGAACTGAGCCAATGTAACAGTCTTTAGCCTGTACCAGTCCCCCTGTTCAGGTGAGAGCACCGAGGTTTGTCCTGGCATGAACATGCAGCCAGGGCATGGAATGAGACTGGGAGGAGGTGAGACTACTGGGATCGCCTTTTCCCATAGGTAGCCCTGACTAGGCTAACTTGATGGATTGTAAAACTACAACATTTTATGAGATTTATCTCTCGACCTGGGGTATTGCAGCGAAACAAGAGATAGAGGCTGGTTTTAAAAAACAGAAGTATAAGAATTATTGTTTGAAAAAGAAAGAAAGAAAAAAGATTAGGTTTGCTATTTTAAACCACTCATTTAAAAAATAATTTAAAAACAAGTGTGACCTCAGACTTCAAGAGTCTGGCTTGCATAGCCAGTAATATTTTAAATAGTAGTAGTAATAAATCTGAAAATAGGACTTTTCTGTAAAAGTATTAATACTATTTCAACTTCTATAAATAGATTTATAAACAGAAAAGTATGTTTTTCTTCCTATACCACTGCACACACAGACTCAAAAGCACTACAACGAGGGGAGGAATTCATTATTAGTATTTAGAGGTTGACTATGTTAAATATAACATAGAAATAAACATTACAATTGAAGACAAACCAAAGAAAACATAGCTAAACAAAC